AGGAACTCCCAATAACATCCGGAAGCACTACTTTAAACCGATTCACTGTCACCTTAGTAATACACTTGTATAGTACATTACAACAAGATATTGGTCTAAAGTCAGTCATACGACTCGGGCTCTCCACCTTAGGGACCAAACCAATCCTGGTGGCATTAACACACATTGGCATTTCATTAGTAACAAAGAAATGTCTCACCGCGTCTCTGAAATTTGTATTAATAATATCTCATGCCCGCTTAAAAAACAAAGAATTGTATCCATCCGGACCAGGGGCTTTATCACCCGGGATAGAGAATAAACCAATCCTAATCTCATCATCAATGATAAAAGCAATCAAGGGACAAATCATATTAGGAGAAATACGCCCAGAAAAATACCTGGATGCCTCCGCGATCTGAGGTTGAGCAGGGGGAGCAAGAAGATCCTGAAAAAACTAACCGCGAGACGCCTTAAACCTTGACTGTCAGTAATATGAGTACCAATCCCATCAGTCAAACCGTGGATGCGGTTCCGAACCTGCCTGTGGATCAACGACTTATGAAAGAACTTAGTATTCTGATCCCCTAAGTTTAGCCACTGAACATGAGACCGCTGCTTAAAAAATCCTCATCATCTTGACAATGACTGAACTACCGGTGGGCAAGGTTCCTCTCTTAGGAGATACACTTAATAGAAAGGTGGTCCCGGTCCAAATTTGCTTGGGTTCTCACCCATTGAGCACGGGCCTCAATCACCCTGTTGGAGATATGGCTGGAAACCCTAACATGTAAAGATTTGAGCTTTCGTTTCAATAACCCTAATTTTTGCGTAAGACAGAACATAAGCTTGCCTACAATAGGCTCGTTCCAAACTGTCTAAACAATATCCATAAAATATGCACGATCAGCCCAAAAATTTAGAAATTTAAAAGGGGATGGTACCTTGCCACGGCGAGAGCCAAACCAGACAACCATAAAGCTGTGATCTAAGACATCCCGAGGTCTTAACTCTGAAACCGTGGTCGACCGAGCAAGGAACCAAGAAAGCGATGCAAAGACCCAATCGAGCTTCCGTAAAATAATCCCATTGCCCTGCTGACTGTTATGCCAAGTATACCGAAGCCCAGTAAAAGGAACCCCAATCAACTCAGCATCATGAATACACTGGCCAAAATCATCCATATAACCATACCACGCAGGATCACCACCCATTCTATCAAAGGCTCCCAAGATGACATTAAAATCACCCAACACAAGCCACGGTAACCCTTTCCAAATCAAACTCTGCTACCTGATCCCTAAGGAAATCCCACAGGCTGTGGCGATTCCCAAGGTCATTAGAACCATACACAAAAGTAATCCCAAATGAGAACCCCTCGGAAACATGAGTAACCTTGCAAGTAACCTCTTGAAGAGAGAAACAAAGGCTATTTACAGAGTAAAGAGAAGAATCCCAAAATACCAGAACTCGGCAGGCAATAGAATCTGTAGCATTTGACAAAAACTGCCACTAAGGACAAACTGTCGAGACCACCGACTGTAGATGAGACTGCTCAACCTTAGTCTCTAACAAACCAATCAAACCCAAAGAAGAGTTAGAAATCCAATTCCTCACTGCGCTTTTTTCGAGAAACCGTTTAGGCCTCTAATATTCTGACTCCCTATCATTAGAATTGGGATAGAAACAAGCTAAACAATCACTTGGGCCTAAGCCCCCGCTTTCCTTGGCCTTTCCCCTTTTCCAAGGGTGGCAGGGAAACTGATCCAGATAAGGTGGCATATGACATCTAGAGTGTTAGTAAACAGTCTCATATACGCAGCGGAAACAAAAAATAAATAATATAACAGGATCGTTTACATGAGCCAAGATCAAGGGTATAATCTTATAGTTCATATTAAATAAAATCTGTAGAAAAATAAATCTGAGTTTAAAGAAAACAAACGCACGTTGGAGGCTCCTCCAAATTTGTTGACGAATGTTTTGCTACCGATCTAAGTGTAGGATCAAACCCACGTAGTCCACATGAAGACAATCTCAAAAGAACTAAAGAGGGATTTGCTAGATCCTCTTTGGCTTCAAGATTAAGAAGAAAAGAAATCAAAGGAATTTGACTTAGGATAAAACCAAATCTGGCATGGGAAGACATGGGGCTGCTGTGTGTGTTTTAATTTCAAAGAGAAATCAATCAGCCAACAATTAACACACACTTTTCTTTTTATAGTTAATCAAGTTGCCCTAATCCCATACGGAATAGGCTTGGGCCCCAACCCAAACGCCCTATGTTGCCAAACACTCCCAATTTAATATTTTTATTTTTTCCATCATGTAACGCCCCAATTGAGGTACGTATTTGTTGTTTCCTCTTTCGCTCTTTATTTGAGTTGGTTGTTGGTAATATTGTTTGATTGAGTGTTGTGTTGAGTGCTTGCCCTGAAATTGGTTGAAAATAGAAGAAGTTTAGTAATCATTATTGTTAAATGTTAATATATATTAATTGATTTTTAATTGAAATAATGATGAAATAAATAAAATATCTAATTTGGGAGTGTTTGGCAATATGGGGTGTTTGGGTTGGAGCCCAAGCCCATTCCATGTGGGGATAAGGCAACTTGGTTTGCCTATAAAAGGAATAGTGTTTGTTGTTTTATTAATTAATTGATTTTGCCTTTGAAAACAAACACACACAGCAGCCCCTTTTTACATTCACTCCCACGCCACTTTCATCTTTTGATTAAAAATCAAATACTGATTTTCCTCTTGATTTCTTAAGGCCAAGGAGGATCTAGCAAATCCCTCCTTGGTTCTTGTTGATTGTCTTCGTGTGGATCTCTACGGTTCGATCCTACACTTGGATCGGTAGCAAACACATTCAGAGACAACATTGGTGGAGCCTCCAACGTGGGTATGGTTTCTCAAACCTTTGGATTTATTTTTCTGCAGATTCTTATATTATGCATAAACTGTAAAATCTGTGCCTTGATTTTGGGTTCTAAGGAATGATCTGTGGTTGTATCCGCTGCGCAACCGGGTCGTTTCCTAACAAGGAGCTGGGGACCTCCCACAATGACACTAGAATGATATTCGTATCCTACCCCAAAATTGGCCCCTCTATTTATACTATCTTCTTAACTAACATATTCTCTCTACTAACAACTTTGATTCCCCATCAACATGTGACAGTAGTAACGAATTTCCCCAACAACCAGGCACCTCACACTCCTTACACTTACTAACCCAAATGTCCCTTATGCCTTTTGTATTGATAGATATTTTTAATGAGAGGTCTATCAACACCCCAACCCCCCCCCCCCCCCCCAATGAAGAGCCACCTTGTTCTCAAGGTGGAAATGAGGAAATTGCAGCTTTATAACAACGGAAGCCTCCCAAGAAGCTTCAAAGGAAGGCAAGTCCTTCCATTTTATAAGGACTTCCCGAGAGCCATCTAATAAAGTGCGGACTGCCAACACCGATTCTGGTTGAACAAGAAGTTCCATATCCTCGGTGAGGAAGGATGGCAGGGGCTGGATGGGTACAGAGGTGTGCAGACTTCGTTTAAGCTGAGAGATGTGAAAGACTAGATGAATTTTTGCCGTAGAAGGCTGTAAGCAACCTGCCCAATCTTCTCTAGTATGGGAAAAGGACCATAAAACCTATGGCTCAGCTTTTCATTCAGTTTTTTGGCCAAGGACTTGAAATTATATGGTTGGAGCTTCAAATACACCTGGTCTCCCGATTGAAAACTAATATCTCGACGATGTAGGTCAACTGTTTCCTTCATCTGCTCTTGAGCAACAGACAAATTATGCTTCAACTCATCCAATATGGAATTTCGTGCAGCCATTTGCTGGTTGACTTCTTCCACTGAGGAAGGGTAATTTGTAAATTTGAGGAGAGTGGGTGGATCCCTTCCATATAGAGCTTTGAAGGGAGTCATTTTAATGGAGTTGTGATGTGTGGTATTGTACCAATATTCTGCCCAGGACAACCACCTATGCCACTGTTTGGGCTGCGAACTACAGAAACATCGCAAGTAAGTTTCCAAACAACGGTTGACCACCTCCGTTTGGCCATCGATTTGAGGGTGGTATGCCGAACTGAACTTCAACAAGGTGCTTGCGGCCTTGAACAGTTCCTGCTAAAATTGACTGATAAAGATCCTATCGCGGTCCGACACAATGGACTTTGGGAACCCATGGAGCTTCACAATATGAGAGATAAAAATAGCAGCGACATCCTTAGCACTGTAGGGATGGCACAGGGAAATAAAATGGCCGTATTTAGTGAGCCTATCCACCACAACCATTATAGTATCCTACCCTTTTGCTTTTGGTAACCCTCCAATGAAGTCCATGCTAATATCTTCAAAAACCTGGGATAGAATGGGTAAGGGTTGAAGGAGACCTGCTGGTTTGAGAGCAAAATATTTATTTAATTGACAAGTTGCACATACTCCTGCAAATCCTTCTTAATACCGTCCCAAAACACTAAATTCATCAGTTTTTTATAAGTTCTGAAAAATCTGAATGGCCCCCTCCTAGGCTGCAGTGAAATTCTTCTAATAGTTTAGGGATGAACTTCGAATTTTTGGGTAAGACCAACCTGTTTTTGTAGATGAGGCAACCACAACGAAGGCCATAATGGGGACGACTGGAAGGGTCAAAAAGAAGTTCTTAGATGATTGCTTGGAGCTTGGGGTCTTGTTGTGCTTAAGCTGCTAACTCATCAAATTCTGAAAATTGGACCACCGAAATGGCCTCTAATTCAACACCCTCTCCTCGTCTAGATAAGGCATCAGCCACTTGGTTGGAGCTTCCAGGTTTGTAATGGATTTCAAAAGAGAATCCTAGGAGCTTAGAAATCCACTTTTGTTGCTCGGGTGTCTTAACTCATTGATCTGTCAAAAACTGCAAGCTACATTGGTCAGATTTAATGATAAATTTTCTCCCACTAAGGTAGTGGCTCCATTTGTGGACAGCAAACACAATTGCCATCAGCTCCCTTTCGTACGCTGACTTTTGTCAGGACTGGTTGGAGAAAGCTTGGCTAAGGAATGCGATGGGGCGCTGATTCTGGACCAGGACAGCTCCAATACTTTGTTCCAAAGCGTCTGTATGAACTTCAAATGGAAGGGTAAAATCAGGAACTGCTAGAACAAGAACTGAAGTCATTGCCGCTTTAAGGGCTTCAAAAGCTCGTTGTGCTTGGTCATTCCATGTAAAAGAGTCCTTTCGCAGCAACTGTGTTAAAGGCTGCGCGATTAAACCATAATTCTGTATAAAGCGGCGATAGTAACCAGTTAACCCCAAAAAGCCTTGTAATCCTTTGATTGTGCATGGAACGGGCCAAGTCAGCATTGAATCAATCTTCTGTGGGTCAGCCTCTACCCCCTTTGATGAAATTAAGTGACCCAAATACTCCAATCTCTGACGGGCAAATAGACACTTCTTGTAATTTATTACTAATTCATGCTTGGTGAGGATTTGAAAGGTTTGTCTCATGTGGAGCAAATTAGTCTTCAAATCAGGGTTGTAAATGAGGATATCGTCAAAAAACACAAGTATGAACTTCCTCAAAACCGGTTTAAAGATGGTATTCATTAAAGCTTAAAAGGTGGAAAGGGCATTGGTTAATCCAAAAGGCATGACCAGGAATTCATAATGCCCTTCGTGAGTCCTACAGGCTATTTTGGGAACATCCTCTTCTTTAACCCTAATCTGGTGGTAACCTGATTTTAGATCCAGTTTCGTAAAAATGGCTGCCCCTGATAGTTCATCCAGCAGTTCATCAATCAGTTCATCAATTGAGGGAATAGGGAACTTGTCGGGGATAGTGATGTTATTTAGTGCCTTGTAATCTACACAAAAACGCCAACTACCATATTTCTTCTTAACCAACAACACAAGACTAGCAAAAGGACTGGTACTGGGTTGTATAATTCCTACCACCAGCATCTCACCTACCAACTTTTCAATTTCATTTTTTTGGGAATAAAAGTATTTGTATGGGCGAATGTTAGGAGGTTTGGCATTAGCTTCTAAGACTATGGCGTGGTCAGTGGGTCTCTTAAGTGGGAGCTTAGTAGGCTGTTCAAACAGGTAGCTAAATCCATCTACAATCGCAGCAGCTGCCGGATCAATGGGTTCTTCTGTTTCCTCTCCCTTGACACCCATGGAGCAAAACTCAATCACATAACCCGCATCCTCCCTCTGCAAGGATTTCAGCATTGCCTTAAGTGACACAACCGTCTTGACTAACGACGGATCCCCTTGTAAAACCACCATTTTCCCTTCACTGATAAATGCCATTGTCAGATTTCTCCAATTAGCACAAACATCGCCCAGTGTACTGAGCCAAAAAATTCCCAACACTACATCTGCCCCTTCTAACTCAAATGGAAAATAATCTTGGCACACTTCAATCCCTTGTATCCTCAATTGCACCCCTCTACAAATACCCTCCCCTCTGACTTTAAAGCCATTCCCTACCATAACCCCAAATGATTTCCCTCTCTCCACTGCCAGACCTAATTTTCGCACCAAATCATGCGAAATAAAATTGTGGGAAGCCCCACTGTCAACCAACACAATCACCTCTGCCCTTCCAATCATCTCTTTTAGTTTTGGGGTTTTATCTATGGTTACCCCTACAATTGAATGCATAGATAAAGCCAATGGGTTACCTTCGTCGAAAACTTCCGAGATCGGTTCAGGAGTGACGTCGTCGTTTTCCGTCTCATTGTCGTCGGTTACTAACAAGATTTGGATCGACTTGCTCCTACATCTGTGGTTTAGCTCGAATTTCTCATCACAACGGAAACAGAGACCTTTTTCACGTTTTTGCTGCAATTCGGCGTCGGACATTCGCCGGAAAGTGTCCCTGCGAAAGTTCGGCATCCTGGTTTTGCTGGATCGATTTCTGTCGTGACATTGATTTGGGAAAAAACTGTGACCTAACTCTGGGTTTCACGATGGATTGACCCAAGAGTTTAAGCGACCGGGTTCTGGGCTTGTGGTGACCCGTGTATAGGAGTCTAGCCTATTTCCTTGGGCTTTAGCAAACCTGGGCTTGTTCTTTTCCAGGACCCAGTTTCTTTCCTCCACGCGATGGGCTTTGTCCATCAACGCAAAAAGGGAAGTGGGTTGAGTCAGACGAATTTCAGCTCTGACTTCCTCCTTTAGCCCATTTGTAAACACCCCCATCAGTATATCTTCTCCTACCTCACGTAAGGGAGCTGTGTGAGCTTTAAAATTTTCCCTGTACTCTGTCACTGTCCCAGTCTGCTTCAGTGCTACCAGAGCTTCATAAGCTGATCCTTTAAATGATGGTCTGAATCTCTCAACCACTGCAGTTTTAAAGTCTGTCCAAGAACCAATTGGTGCTCTGGACTCCTCCTACTAATACCAGTTCAAGGCACAACCCTCCATACACACGGCGGCAGCTGCCACCTTTTTTCCCTCCTCATATTGGTTCACCGAAAAATATCGGTCAGCTCTGAATGTCCAACCATAAGGATCTTCCCCGTTGAATATGGGTAGTCCAACTTCTTTCCCTTCTTCTCATCCTTCGAGTTCTCTGCCTCCTTGTTCCTATCGACTCCCCTACTGTCACTACTGTTGGAAGGATTCGAGTGGGATGCTTTCCCCTTATCATGGTTCAGATTTGCATCCCTTTCTTCCCTTAGCCTCATCCACTCGCGAAGCTCTGGTAAGTAGCCCTTAATGCTCCTTAGCTCTTCCTTTACAGTCCCCATTTCTTTTTCTACGTTCCCCATTTCCTTTTCCAATCCTTCAACTCTGTTCTCCATCTTCGATTTAACCATTACCCAAACGAAGCTCTGATACCAATTTGTTAAGACTCCCTGCAACAATAACTAGCAAACTACACAGACAACCCAAAAAAACAGATAAAAAGGTTCACTCAATCAAGATTCAACCGGAGTATATTTCTAGAGAATGGAAATAGAAACAACTACACAATTGGAAACCAACACAGATAGATCCCAGCAATTCAAGGAGTTGGGGACCTCCCACAATGACACTAGAATGATATTCATATCCTACCCCAAAACTGACCCCTCTATTTATACTATCTCCTTAACTAACATATTCTCTCTGCTAACAACTTTGATTCCCCATCAACACGTGACAGTAGTAACCAATTTCCCCAACAACCAGGCATCTCACAGTCCTTACACTTACTGACCCAAATGTCCCTTATGCCCTTTGTATTGATAGACATTTTTAATGGGAGGTCTATCATTGACACATATTATTAAGTCAAGAGTTGTAGATAGCACCATCTTTGGAGATGCAGAGGATGCAAGATTAAGTGATCTGTCCAATAGAACAGCTGTCAATGGTATTGCTTTCTTACAAACACAAGAAAATATTAAAAATTGAATTGATTGCTGCTATAATTATATTGCAGATGTCGACATGCCAGATCTCTGGACTGCAGCTGTTTCAGAGGCAAAAAAGTGGTTAGAGGAGAAGAAATTGGGTTCAAATTCAAAGTGTGTTTGTGGGAATCTGAAAAAAAATTCTTCAATGCATAATGACATTTGCTACCATGAACTCAAATTGTATGATCTGAATACTGTAGATGTTCTTAATGACACCTATATATCTATCATCTCTGGATAATTCATTGAACTTCATTCTGATGCTTGATTTGATATTTTACATTGTCCATAGGCAATAGTCACAATTGCGGATCAAGATGGAAATTATTTATAGGAAGCATGGGAGCATATTTGGACGTGTGTCCAAGTTTGAGCACAATGTTCAGGTAATTACTCATCATCATTAATTAATTATAACATAAAATATTTAGTTTATTTTGTGTATTCAATAACTTCATGGTGTATCTGCTCGAATTTATGGGACTCTTTGAAATGATATCATTATTGTTGGTTTTTAATATATTTGAGTTCACTTCTCTTTCAAAAGTTCTATATACTATTTATACTTATTTCTCTTTAAAATGGTTTGACTCCAAGTTCTATATGGTGCTAATGTTTAACTAGGGAAGAGTTTAATAGATTGACTGTTAAGACTCCCTGCAACAATAACCAGCAAACAACACAAACAACCCAGAAAAACAGATAAATGGGTTCACTCAATCAAGATTCAACCAGAGTATATTTCTAGAGAATGGAAATAGAAACAACTACACAATTGGGAACCAACACAGATAGATCCCAACAATTCGAGGAGTGTTAGAGTAGATGCCCTAGAGTCAATCAATTATTATGGAATTGACTCTTTGTAATAATGTTCATTAATCAATAATAAAAGGCATTTCATTCTATATCGCGTAAATCATTATTATTGCAATATGTATTGATATATGTCCTTAGAATGGTAGAACCGTGACGAGGGTATCAAGTGTTTCAAATCTTGATAGTGAGAACCCTATGAGCACATATGGACGAAATGATAAATTATTAAGGGCAAAATAGGGTCAAAATTAAGATTACCTCGGTAATCTTATAATAGCAACCCTTGGGAAGATAATCTGATTACCCCCAATATTCAATAGTAAACACTATTTGCAATAAAAGATACGTAATATTTTATTACTGACAACCAAATGAGGAATATTGAAAATAAACAAAGATTATAGGATTATCTTATATCACCCTGTACCAAACGCTACCTGAAGATTATTGAAAATGTTTAGGAAATGTGTTTAGAAATTGGTGGGTATATATATATTAATATGTTTGGTTAGGAAGATAATGGTGTATGTTATATAAATTATTAAATTGTCTTCATTTTAAATATTAATATAATTTATTTTTTATTATTTTTTGAATCATTGTTTAACCTCCTTACATTTGAAATTTTACTAAAACACCCCAGCCATATAAAACTTTATTTTGTAACAAAATCACCCTTACACACCCCAAGCCACCACGGCCGTCACAGGAAGTGACCATAATGGCATGACAGGCCATCTGGCCAACCGTGCGTCGATGAGGCCGTTTTCAGCCATGGATCTGTGATCCATGGCTAGAAATGGCCAAATCTGGCCGTTTGATGGCCACAAATTTGGCCTTTTCACGAGTCCATGACCACATCTTTGCGTGTGAAACACTAGATCTGGCTTAGATCCATGGCCGAAAATAGCCTCACCGGCACACAACCGGCTTCTAATGTCGTCTGGCTACTGCCGACGGTAGAGACAAGCAGCCAAGATGCGGTGGTGGCCAGATCTGGCCACCACCCTGGGTAATTATATTAAAATCCAAGGGTGTTTTGTAATTATTATAAAACAAAGGATAATTTCTTCCATATGTTAAACTGTTTAGGGGTATAATTGGAAACAAAGTTTTAATGGGGGGAAAGTTTTAATAACACCCTCCCTTGGGTATTCTTATCATCCCCCCTCCCAATTTACCCTCCAAAAGTACTATGAGGCTGTTTGGATCGGGGGTAATCTTCGTTTATTTGTAAGATTTCGATGTTTGGTTTCCAAGTAATAAATATTATAGTAATCTTTATAGTAAAAGTGTTACTGTTGGTAATGTGGGGGGGTAATCTTACACTGTTAGGGGGTGTTATTAAAACATTACGGGGGAATATGATTTTTCTAC